ACCATATATGAGGTTCCATATTTTTCCTTGACGAGAAGTAAGTGCAATGTGAAATATGGTTCGGCTTTTCTTATTCCCCTATAACAAAGCAGGGTTCGACCTAAGCACTTCCTCAACAAATTCATGAATATTCCCACATTTGATGGCTATTTTTATCGCCTCAAAGTATACATCGACAAAACCAGGATCAAAAGTCCATATTGGGGAACAAATCTTGCTTATTAGTTCACGGCGGGACTCCATGTTTGTGATCTCCATATTCATTTCTTCCTCAACACCTGCAACAATTCTTATCCAAGTAGAAAAATTTTAAAAATAATAATAACAACTATTGGGAAATTAAGTAGTTACCATATGAATAGAATTGTAGTAGTACTCTGGTTTCATACCTAGTGCTTTAGCAACATTTGATATTAATCGTAAGTCAATTTTTTTGCTTTTTATTTCAAATTTTCGTTTTGTTACTACCAAATTAAGAGTTTACCCTAAATCTTCCTATGAATTTGGGAGCTGTGGTTTATGTGCAAACTAGTTATAAAATGACATCATAAGCTATCCGTGTAGCAAAAATTGTTTGTTAGAGTAATTGATGAGATTTAATTTTTCGAACTTATAGAATAAAGTTTAGGTCTAGACTTTGAGACCGAAAAAAAAAAAAAAAAAGGTCAACCAAGTATTGCTTCAGGAAGAAGTAGAACAATTAGGGGAGATAAAATTATCCTTTCAGAATATGGAACTCTGTTGTACATAAGAAAGCCAACAATTGAATTGTCTCATGAGAGCATATCTAATTAAATATTAATTCCTAAAACATATATATAATATACATTGGTTTTCTACACTGCACGCACCTTCTTTATATATTGGCCCTCACCCTAAGTTACCCCGTGTAAGATTCCGGCATAAATTTTACACGTCATTGAACATCATTGAATTTTATTTTACCAGAACAATGAATGAAATTAACTAACATAGAGGTGCATTTGGGTGACAAAAAAATATTTGGCCCAACAAATAAGGAAGAAGCTGCATTAATGGATATAGTCCTAAATAATCTTAGTCATAATTTGCATCAACTGATTGAACTGCTCACAAATATATATTCTCATACTTGGTGTCATCAGCTATGTCATGTATATGTATATTGCTACTGGGCATACTAATTTTTTGTTAGATAAATTGCAGAAAATCCATCTCAAATCTTTAGATACCCCTAGTGAATAAACCATCGAATATTGCAAATAGGACCATTCCCTCAACCGACTGTTAATGGTCATATGAATGACTTTTATAGCCCTGTATAATGAATACATATATATATAATGAAAAATAAATAAATAAATAGTAAAACAATTTTATAAATTTGTTCTAAAAAAAGTTGTTTAAACAAATTTGATGGGATTTGAATTTTTAAGGACTTCTAATCAAAAGTCATATGAAATGACTTTTATACACGTGTGATATTTTTGCTCCTGTTTTTTAATTGGTTCTTAAATAATTTTCTCTCTTTCTAATATTTACAAAGACACATTTTTTTTTTTTTTGGATAAAGTGGTATTATTACCAAATATATGAGAACACTCCATTAAGGGCACATTTAGCAACAGAGGTATAGTCATGAAAAATTTTAAACAATATTATTACCTAACAAATTTAAAAAATATTTTAATTGTGAAAAGTACTTTACAGAGTGCATCATCAAACACTTATTGACAACAAATTTATAACAACTCTACTGGTAGAAATGTTTCTGCTTCAAAAGGCGCTCTGTTCTGTTGGCAAGAACCTTTAGTTTACTTGTTGTGTTCTTCGCTATACTTAACAGCATTTTTACCCTTACGAGTAAAAAAATTAATACCCTTCAAAGTTATAGTGTCCCCCACTTCACTACTTGGAGGGTATTCTTGAGGAATATAGTCATTTGGATTGTCGAAGAAGGAACATTTTGTTGTCCATTTAAAGATACCACGTCCACAGGTAGATGAGACCATGTCAATAAACAGAGGAAATTGCAATAAAGCAAATAAGGTTGCTGGGACACAAACAAGCGACATGATCGGAAAATATGCCCAACTTGTCCATCTGTCAAGCACAATATCAAGTGTGGCACCAAAAGCTACCATCATGGTGGCAATAGACAAGAAATGGGTAGCCAGACCAATTATCAATTTCTTAGGCAATGCCTTAAAGAAATCGTTTTCCTCAAAGCGTGAAGTGAGGATACTTAGGAACATTAACACTACAGTAACTGAAGAGAATAGAGCTAATGCATCTGATATTATGAAAACCATAAAGTTGTCATGGTATATGAACTTGGGATCCCCTGATTGCAATGGGGTCTTCCTTGACTTGTCGGGTTTATCAACAACACCACTTGGTAATGTGAAGGCTGCAGCAAACCTAACTGTGACAATGAGAGTGGATACAATTGTACATGATGTTGCTTTATCTCTCATCCATTGTTCTCCTTGTTTAACTAATTCAGCGTGCGATTTTGTGAACAATTATGGAGGAATGTCTCCATTCTTGTTAGCAAGAATTTTGTATGAAGATGGTACCATCCTCTCCACCTCCTATCATAGTTAAAGAAGAAAAAACTAAATTAAAACCTGGTCTAATTCAACAATTTATATGAATTAAGATAAGGGCTTAAAGACATCAGCAACATGTTAGGGTTTCACACACACAGTTAGCAAATATAACAGATAAAAAATCACACACAAACAAAAAACGAGATTTACGTGGTTTGGCAAATTGCCTAGTCCACGGGCGAAGAACAACTAACTTTACTTCAAAAAACTTGATTACACACTATTCTCTCTCTCTCTCACACAATCTCAACTCTCTTTTTCTCTCTACAGCTCCACCTCGAATGAAGATCGCTCCACATTGAACAAAAATTTCTCTATCTCAAATAAATCACTATAATGAAATTGAGAAACACTCTAACAATCTTCACCTTTTCTCAAATTCATCACTCTTCTTCTTGTCGTTCTTCGCCGCACCACTATACTCATCTATTCTTTGCAAATTCCAAGCTCAAATAATTAAACTTGGAATCTACTTTCGCATCACCAAATTGAACTCTTCTTGCTTTTGGAATAAAGGCTGGTACTCTTGCAATTGTCAAGACTTCTTCTTTCTCTTGTTGTTCTTGATTCTTTATTCTAGTAGATCTCGAAACAGACTTCCATTCCGTCTTTGCAATTGCTCCACCTAGCATAGTATTTCCTAACAGAATATAGAGATTGTTGACCTTCCTTCCCAAAAGCATGACACGTGGCCCTCTTCTAATCTTCATCAATCCATTTTTCACTTCACACCAACAACCTTTGGAATCCAATGCTCCCACAGAGATCACATTCCTTCTAACACTTGGAATATGGTGTACATTTGTTAGGGTTCTTACCAAACCATTCATTGTCTTGATTTTAATTGTTCCAATTCCCATAATATCGCAACAGACATTATTCTCCATAAATACCTTACCACTTACAGGTTTGTAGGTAGTAAACCATTCTTTATGAGAACATACATGAAAGGAACAAGCAGAATCAAGTATCCATTCCTTAGCTTCTCCTTTATTATCAATGATTGATAATGCTTCATCATTATCACTCTCTTCTTTTGTATCGTCAGACACAATAACGGGAGCGGATGCACTCTCCTTTCTTTCTGGACAATACCACTGAATATGCCCCTTTCTTCCACACTTATAACATCTTTTTTCTGATAATGGCACAAGGTTTCTTGAAGCTCCAAATCTCTTCTTCTCTTGAGCAATAAAAACTTGAGCCTGATCATCACGACTCTCTTCATCATTCAACTTTTCATTAGAGAATAAAGCACTCTTAACTTATTCCACCGAGATGGTGTCTCTCCCATAAAGCAAAGTATTAAATAAATGATTATGGGTAGAGCGTACTGACATCAACAAAATAATTGCTTTATCCCCATCACTTAACTTGACATCAATGTTAGACAAATCACAAATAATTTTGTTGAACTCACCAAGATATTCTTGAAGGCTTACCTCATCTTTTCTCTTGAAGGAATACAACTCTTGCTTTAAAACTAACCTGTTGGTGAGATTCTTTCCCAGATACAGATTCTCCAACTTCTTCCACATATCTGCTGCTGAATCTTCTTTTATCACATCATACACAATATCATCCGCCAATGTTAATCGAATTGCACTCATTGCCTTCAAGTTGATCTTCACCCAATCTGCATCTTCTATCTTTTCTGGTTGCTTACCCAAGGCATCTTCTAGACCGTGCTGAATCAGTAAATCCCGCATTTGAACTTGCCAAAGACTGAAGTTCTTTCTTCCATCAAACTTCTCGACCACGTACTTTCCATTAGTAATAGTTGCCACCATGGCTTTGATACTAGTTGTTGGGGTTTCATACACACAATTGGCAAATATAACAGATAAAAATCACACACAAACAAAAAATGAGATTTTGTTTTGGCAAATTGCCTAGTCCACGGGCGAAGAACGACTAACTTTACTTCAAAAACTTGATTACACACTATTCTCTCTCTCTATCTCTCTCACAATCTCAACTCTCTTTTTCTCTCTACAGCTCCACCTCGAATGAAGATCGCTCCACATTTAACAAAAATTCTCCACCTCAAATAAATCATTATAATGAAATTGAGAAATACTCTAACACAACATTGATTTGAGGGATAATTCTTACTACCCTCCAAATGGATGGAAGTGGATTAATAATGCTACAACCAAATGATTCATCAATGACCAGGTTCATTGACTCATTGCATATATACTAGTTACTTATAGGTTTGCTAGTAAAATGTAAGTTCCCAAATCAATCACATCTTAAATAATGATGGAGTACTAGTATATAGATATATATATATACTTCGATACAAGATGTAGAAATCTAAGAATTATATTACATACGTACCTTGTACCATTGTATTTCTCTCTGCATTTTCACAGCTGCACCTGGAGCCTTGCTGAATATTTTCGACTACTGTTGTTCTCCTTTTTTCTGTAAAGCTTCATCTGGAACGTCTACTAATGGGTATGCAGCTATGTGTAACATACTGTTCGATTCTACCAGAGTTCCAGTGGCTCTGTTTTTTTGCTCAATAGTTAAACCATAAATGAGGTTCCATATTTTCTCCTGATGGGAAGCAAGTGCAATGTGAAATATAGTTCCGCTTTTCTTATCGCCCCATAAGAAAGCAGGATTCGACCTCAGGACTTCCTCAACAAATTCACCATTCCCATATTTGATGGCTATTTTTATTGCCTCAACGTATATTTCAGCATACTCAGGATCAAAAGTCCATATTGGAAAACACAACTTTGCTGAGTAGTTTACGGGCTTGGATGTTTTTTATCTTCATATTCAATATTTTTCCATTAAAATCTGCAATTCTTTTCCAAGTAAAAATATTTAAAAAATTATAATTTACATAAAAGGTACTTCTATAATGAAATTAAGAAATACTCGGTATAAATAGAATAGTTGTAGTAGTCTGCTTTCATACCTATTGTTTTACCAACATTTGAAATTAATCCTATCGCAGCCCTCAGTCCAATAAATTCCTTTCACAGCCCTCCCTGCTTTTGTATCCATTGCTTTAGCAACATTTGACGTTACTCTTTTTACAAATCGGAGCCGGATCGCTGTTATTACATCATAAAAACAATGATCTCATCAGCACAACATATCTAAAATTTTCTTTTTATATGATTTTTTTTTTTTTTTTTTTTTTTTTTTTTTTTTTTTTTTTTTTCTTCTAATATGTTTTTAGTTTATCTAATGTATGTACAATAACATTTTTTTTTTTGAGATTTGATTATTTTTTATTTTTTATTTTATTGACAAAAAACTCAGGTAGCCATTTGTTGTGGAATTTTATTTTTTAGAATAATAATATATTATTTGAATCTTATTAATGGCTCTGTCACATTGTACCCGATAAAATTATTTCAATGAAAAATATTGAAAATGCAAAATGGGAGAGAGATCAAGATATACTTTTTGAATAAACTGTATTTTTGAAACTGTCCATGGATGGATGAGGATAACCGGCAGGTGGATTTTCAATATTGCTCCTACTATCAAAGTTACCTGCTTGTTGGTCATCCATACCTACCCAAAAAAAAAAAAAAAAAAAACCACAAATGATAATGTATATCATTTTAATAGAAACAGATCTGAAAGTTAAAAATATTAATGGACAATATGGAGCGAGATCGAGAGATATATACCGGTTGACTGAATATAGAGGGAAAAATCTCCCTCCAATAAGAGCAGTCCACGTCATCATAAATATAACTTTATCTTCGATAAAGGTCAAAGCCCATCTCGTTAGAAGCTCAAGTTGACTTGGTCATTAGCCCAAAACTACTGTTATCTAACTACCAGCTTTACTAAAGCTCGAATCAAGACGCCAGCAGTCATGTGGACCAAGTTAAATGTGGCCCAAATCCATTTAAAGAGTGAGCCGGTCCTGTAAGGAAAATGATTCATCAAAGGAAGCAAGTTCTGTGTAAGGAAAATCCAGTAAGGGAAGAATTATAAAGAGAAAATAATTCTATTTGTACAGAAATTGATATATGGAAAGAATTAGAGGACAAGCAACGCGAGTCTTATCATAATTCTTCTAACTTTTGTATATAAATAGAGGCCCAGACCTTCAATAAAGGATCAAGCAATTCTACGCCCCTTTCTACGCCCCTCTAGATACTGTTCTTGTTTATTTTTGTTATTTATTGAGTGAGTTGTTTTATTTTTCTCAATCATTATTGGTTGAGCGAAATTTTGCACTTACATTGAACTTTATTTGACACATCAATACCTACCGGAAAGAAGGAATGATTATATCATTTTAATAGAAACATATTTGATCAAAGTTATAGTATTGTTAATTATACAATATTCATGTAATTAATTAATTAAGAAGAGATAATAGTGCAGTCTAGAGATTCAGTGCAGCATAAGCGTGGTAAATAATAATAATAATAAAAATAATAATTAAAGAGTATTGATACAAGCCCGGACAACCCAATACTTGGATTCTCACAAGTAGGGTTGGCAATTTGATCTAAGAAGCAAATTCAATACACCTCTGGTCAAATCTTGCATCTAACCAATGGAGTCAAAAATATGATTTGGATGGGGCAGATGGTACGTGTCAAGCCCAAAAAGAAACAAACACCTCCTCACAAGCAATTTGCTGTGTTCCGGCGAGTGAGCGAACAAACTGGACATGCCGCAGCTCATGAAGGAGTGCTGTCAGACCCGACCTTTCTTTTCTCTGATCTCAACCAAATAGGAAAGTTGCACGCGCGGTTATCCACCCTGCCCCACCCCGCCCTGCCCTATTTTTGTTGGTTTTGGGGGACCCTTTAGCTTATTTAGGCGAGGATGGTTTAATGTAATAAAAATTCGTGCGGGTTTGGTGAGGGGGCGGGGGAGGTTGTTCCGTCCTATTTAGATAGACAAATTACTTAAGTACCTTTATTTCATTAGTATATATATTTCTTAGTATATATATTAAGTACCATATATAATAATATTAAAGTAATAAATGAATTTGATTAGAAGGAAAGCTGCAATGGTGAAAAACTGAAGATGACAAAAAAAAAAAAAAAGCAAATCTATTTCAACAATAAATTAATTATGGTGTTAAACAGGGCGGGGCGGGTACCCGCGGGGTAAAAATGTTAAACGGTTGTTTAGATGGGGTGAAAAGTCTCTCCGTTTTTGTAATTTTGGGAGGGGACGAGGACGGCGTTTTTAAATGGTTTGCGGGGCGGGGGAGGGTGCATCAGCCCAAACTTGCCCCGTTGCCATCCCTACTCACAAGGTGGTGCTACCTTGTGAGTCCTGTGTTGTTGAAATTTTTTTTTTTAATAAATAAAAAAAATTAAATTAATTAGATGGGTATTTTACTTACACATGTAAGTCAAGCTTTTAAAATATCCGAGTTGATTTCCACTTGAGAACGCAAAAACCATTATTGCCATTCTATTCAAGTTCTCTTTCAAATACTCCTTAATTACATTAGAATCATATTCGCATTCCAAGTGCTTCAGTGCCAAATCTATGAACACAAATTGTGCCAATATATTAGAGAGAGAGAAATACTTGAAGAAATTTCATAAGATTTCATTGAAGTATATATTTATATGGATTAATGCATACCAAATTTCTCGGTTTTAATAAATTTTGTGAACATAATCTTATTCACAGCATCATCTGAAAGTCAATGAAACAAGCAAGTTAGTTAATTAGAGAAAAAACAAGTTAATGGACTCTAACTTAGATGATATAATCTCCCCTCCACCTTAAAGAAGTTGAATTAATGTTCAAGTCGGACAAAAGGTGAAATATATATATGAATGTATGTACGTACATACCTAGAAATAGAGACCCTATGAGTTCACGAAAGTACCCATGCTTGCCACCATCATCCTTAGTAGTATGATATCCACGTAAAGATTTCAACGTCGGCTTGTTATCGTAAATTGCAGCGAGGGTGAGTGGGATATGTTCATCTTCATTCTTTATAGGCAGCCAAAACTCTAATATTGCTTTTAAGAGTTTAATTGAATCTATTATAATTTTCCTTTTACAGGACGGATGCTTCTTGGCAATACGTATAACACAACTGAATGAGGAGGATATAATTAACCAAACTCGTGAAAAACATAATATATATATATATATATATATATATATATATATATATATATATATATATCTCGATCATCTGTTAGTAAATAAGAGGTTAATCGAAGATCTTACATGTTCATAGGATGTACGTTTGATGGCTGAACCAAGAAACTAAACCCTCTTGTTCCACTTATATATATGTTGTGTTTGGAAGTTGAATAGTATTTCAATGTGTTGTATTAAAGTAGTCACTTTTTTATGGTTATATATATGTTGTGTTTGGAAGTTCAAATTCAATAGTATTTCAATGTGTTGTATTAAAATAGTCACATTTTTATGATTATATATGATGTGAAAATGAAGTTTGAGACCTCATCTTTTATGGTGTGTGCAAACTCAACATCTTCTAAGTTTTCTTCTTCATTACTTTCAAAGAAAATGGATTTAAACTTTAAAGCGTACAACATTCTTTACATAGAATTTGAAGCTTAAATTTGCTGGGTTATGATGGATGTATAATTTAAATATCCGTGATTAAGGGAAGGTTGTTAAATTAATGCACTATCTCATAAGATTAAGATAGGCTCTATAGATTATGATAAAGTTTACAGATAACGATAGGGATTACAGATTACGATAAAGATTAAGTCTATAGATTATGATAAGGTAACTCTACGTGACATCTTGACCTAAGCCCTATAAAGAAGGCGGGCTAATCAACGTTTTGGGGTACGCAAAAAAAACCCTAACTCAATTTCTTGATTTCTCCTGAGAGATTACTTCGCATACTGACTTGTTCGTCGAAGCCTACTCCACCGGTAACACACCGGTGCTCGTAGGATCACCTTTTCTTCTCTCTGTTTAGGACCTTTTCTTCTCTCTGTTCAGGGAGTCAGATCAGATTTGGGTTGGGCAAAATCCATCATCAACAGTTGGCGCCGTCTGTGGGAACATTTTTTGTTCTCTAAACAAAGCATGGTTTGATTGCGATCTGGTCTGGCTATTGGCAAAGACAAAGCGTTGTAGGCTTCTGATAGAGGGGACTCAACGGGGCAACCCCCTGTTGTCCCAAACCATCAGGAACGATTCGCAGCGTTGGAATGACAGGTTCAAACCTTACATGAGGGAATGAACCAGTTAGTCCAGCAAAATGCGATAATTTTGCAATGCTTAGCCGGCCCCAACGAGGAGAGAAACAGTAAAGTACCAAATAATGACTCCCGTAAGGTTAACAACAACGCTAAGCTTAGTCAAATAAGGGGTCAACAGAGGACATCACCATCGGTCTCCTGAGCGAAATACCACCAGGCTCTGTGGAGCTACTTCTAGTTATGTTGGTGACAAGACTGAGGACGTCACTCATTTCGATTTAGAGATGTAGGATCTGAAAGCTAAGGTTGAATACGTCATGCAAGCGATGAAAGGGAAGGGCCAGGCCGCAGTGAACGATATGGTACAGAAGACCAACCTAGCTTTTAGCCCAACTGTTATAAGTTGTCCTCTACCTAGCAAATTCAAGATGCCAACTCTTGAAAACTTCGATGGGACACGGGACCCCTCTCGACCATTTGGAGACCTATAAAGCTCTTATGTATTTGCAAGCCGTACCGGACGAGATTATGTGCAGGGCTTTCCCTACCACACTAAAGGGTTGGGCTCGTCTCTGGTTCAATAAATTAAAGCCAAGCTCCATTGAAAAATTTAATGAATTGAGCAAATAATTCATAAGACACTTTATTGCTGGGCAGAGGCATAGGAGACCAGCAACTCACTTATTGAATGTGAAGCAGCAGAAAGGAGAGCCTTTTCGTGATTACATAAGTCGTGTTAACACTGAAATGCTGCAGGTAAAAAAGGTAGACGACAAGGTTGCCCTCACAGCTTTTATAGGAGGACTATAGACCTCTAAGTTCCTATTCTCCTTGTCAAAGGAAGCCCCTACGAGCATGGCAGGGTTGATGGTTAGAGCGCGGAAGCACATGAACACTGAGGATGCTATGAATGCATGAAAAAACAAAGATGGTGAAGATAAGAGATCAGATTAAAAGAGGCCAGCACCTAGCACTAGGGAGGAAAAGGAATCAAAGTACAAGAAATTCTCAGGCAGCTAGACTGACAGATCGTCTCGTCATCCGGTGAGCCAAGGCAGGTATAATAACTACACCCCTCTAAACACATCTGTAGAGTAGGTCTTTTCTACAGATTCAAGATGACTCCTCATTGAAATGGCCGCCAAAGTTAAAAGCTGGTCCAACAAAGAGGTCTCGAGATAAGTTCCGTAGGTTCCACCGGGACCATGGACATAACACAGAAGATTGTTTCGACATCAAAAACCAAATTGAGAACCTTGTTTACAAGGGTCATTTACGCAGATTCACGACTAGGAATGGAAGAAGAGGCTCCAACCCAGCTCGAGAGGGACGATAGGCCGACTACACCTTATTAAAGGTTTCCTTATTAAAGAGACGAGAGGCTGACTACACCTTATTAAAGGTTTCCTTATTAAAGAGACCAGGGGCCAACAACACATTCTTCCCTCATTAAAGGGACAAGAATACAGCTACTTCCTCTACACAGAAGGGTGAGATAATTCAAGTTTCCTTCATTTACTAGAAGGATGAGATGACTACCTCTCGTATTAAAAGGGTCACCCTCATTAAGACTACACCTCTTTCCCCCGTAAAAGAACGAAAGGTCAACTTCATCTTCTTCCTTCGGTAAAGAGACGAGGGGTTACCCACTCCTTTATTAGAGGGTGAAGCTCATAGTAATCTACTTCCCTTGTTAAAGGGTGAGCTAGGTGAAGCTCATAGTAATCTACTTCCCTTGTTAAAGGGTCTACTTCTCTTATTAAAGGGTGAGCTGAGTGAAACTCATACTAATCTACTTCCCTTGTTAAAGGGTGAGCTGGGTGAGACTCATAGTAGTCTACTTCCCTTGTTAAAGGGTCTACTTCCCCTGTTAAAGGGTGAGCTAGGTGAAGCTCATAGTAATCTACTTCCCTTGTTAGAGGGTGAGCTGGGTGAAGCTCATAGTAAAACTCGTATTAATCTACTTCCCATATTAAAGGGACGAGCTGACTAAAGATGTCAATAAAATCAAGTATAAAACAACATCACTACGAGAAACTCGTATTAATTTACTTTTCTTATTAAAAGAGATGAGCTGAGTGAAACTCATATTAATCTACTTCCCTTATTAAAGGGACAAGCTGACTAAAGATGTTAATAAAATCAAGTATAAAACAACATCACTACGACTAGTACTACTTGATTTTCTGGAAGATGGAAATAATTTGAATGAATTCTACTCAAACCGTCTCGATTTATAGAAGAAGAATGTAAACAAATAAGGAAGAGATTTATGGTGGCGTTCTAACAGAAATCTGCTTCGTGAGGGACAATCAGCTCCCAGCGGGCTATTTTGCGTAGGAATTTACTTCTACAAGATGGAATCGCAGACGACATGTTGGTCAGAGAATAGGATTAGGAGTTAATCCTCGAATAAGATAACCACACTGGTAGCCCCACGTGAATTGCCTATGTGCCGAAAGGTAGGCTGCAAACATAGCAGCTTGCCATATATACGAGTTGCCAATGTGGTACTACGACAAATATGTCAAAGACATGTACGGTCCTAAAAAAAAAAAAAATTGAGTCAGGCTAAATTTGAGTCACGCTCTACCCCCGACTGTGTCAGGCAAAATTTGAGTTAGGCTAAATTTGAGTCATGCTCTACCCCTGACTGTGTCAGGAAGAATTTGAGTCAGGCTCTACCCCTGATTGTGTCAGGCTAAATTTAAGTTATGCTAAATTTGAGTCAGGCTCTACCCCCGACTGTGTCAGGCAAAATTTGAGTCAGGCTCTACCCCAGACTGTGTTAGGCTAACTTTGATTCAGGGTCTACCCTCGACTGTATCAAGCTAAATTTGAGTTAGGCTAAATTTGAGTCAGGCTCTACCCCCGATTGTGTTAGGCTAAATTTGAGTCAGGCTCGACCTCCTACTGTGTTCGCGAAGTGGCAATATGAGTCAGGCTAATGGGCAGGGCTCTACTATCTAATAATCAAACCAACTCATTGTAGAAATACAAGGTGAACGGCTCTACAATTCTAAATATCTATTATTATGTAATATTTGGGAATTAATGTTCCGGTGGTTTGACAAGCAATTCTCTGAAACGGGAGGCAACTGATGGATGTATAAATTAAATACCCATAGATAAGGGAAGGTTGTTAAATTAACGCGCTATCTCATAAGATTGAGATAGGCTCTGCAGATTATGATAAGGATTACAGATTACTATAGGGATTAAACCTACAGATTACGATAAGGATTACAGATTACGATAAGGATTAAATCTACATATTACGATAAGGATTAAGCCTACAGATTATGACTTGAGTCTATGGGAAATGTAGAAATATGATTAGGATGGCTACCTATCGACAGAAGGTTTCCAAGTATTACAATGCTCGGGTCAAGCCTAGAAGGTTCTTAGTAGGAGATTTAGTACTCCGCAAAGTTCCTCAAACAACCAAGGATTCAACCATAGGGAAACTGGGTCCCAAATGGGAAGGGCCTTACAAAGTTATGCGATGTTAGCGACCAGGAACATACTAGTTGGAGGACTTAGAGGGAAAGCCACTGCCTCACCCATGGAATGTTGAGCATCTGAAGAAATATTATCAGTAAACAATTTCAGTTTAATCTTAATTTATTTGTTTTTGCTAATACTTCTAGTTTCAATAATTATTTCATTCTCCACGAATGAATATCTTCAATAGCCTTGTTATCAACTTTAGTTTTAATAAAGTATTCCCTACATAATTTCCTTGAAGGTTGGTGAAGTTTTAAACTCATCCACTACATTGGATCTTTCCACCATCAGTTTCTAGGACATCTCCTTGTCGAGCTTCTGCACATAAGATGCATGATAAGCTCGCTCTGTTTCTAACGTCGCACACATTGCTTATAGAGTGGCCTCATGTTTGTCACACTCCAACTGTAAATCGGCTTGATGTTTGGAGCGAGTAGAAGCCAACATTTTGGTGTAATGCTCCCCTCCTCTTGGAGCTAGACACGATAAGTAATACGCGTGTGTATTAACCTATACACACATAGGAACAAAAAGTTACAATGAAGAGGAAAAGAAAAGCTAAATAAAAATAGAGGATGGTGAGAAAGTTAACCCGTGCGAGATAATGCATAAGCCGGTTAAAAATCTCAGTTGGAGGGCGAGAGTTCAAATACATCATATCTTCCTTCGATAAAGACTCACTTATTTTCTTAAAAGTAAGTTGAGCATTGCCTAGAATAGATGCTGCTAAAGAGTTGGGGTCTGAGGGGAGTACCCCTGCTTCAATAAGAAGTGGTATAGTCTCATCTATAAGCTGATGAGGGAATTCTGAGTTAGATACATGTGAAGAAGCAATTGAAATAGGTGAGACTGTTTGTGCCGTAATAGCAGGCTTCTCTTTTTTCCTCTTGGCAGGGGAAGTAGGTGGGAAGTCACTTGAGCCTTTTTTAAATTGAGCTAGAAGCCTCTTATTAAGTTTTCGGGATATAGTTACAGGGGACTTTCCAACAGGCTGAGGACCAATCCCATGGGTGAACAAAGTCTGAGGTGTCACGAGTGAAGACCAGTCCCTCACTGAGTGGTTAAAGGCTTCCTTTATTCGCTGGAGATCATTAGATGAAATGGCAATCTCTTTAAAGCCTGAGAGGTCAACAACTTTATTAATAACTACAAATTTAAATAAAAAGGGTATCATTATGGACAATTCACCAGTGGAATTCTGATTACACCACGTACGAGGAATGGAAGTCCCTATTCGCAGGAAAGCATTTTCATCAGGAAAAAACTCCCAGCCATCACCAGAAATGAAAAAGAACCGGCTTTTCCATGGTTTGTGCTTAATGGAATTTCCAGAGATAGGAATTTTATCCCGTGAGGAGAAGTACGACCAGTCACCCCTTTTGGGAATGTAGCAATGAAAAAACTCCTGGATAGTGGGCGAGGTATTACAACAAGCTCGCCACAGAACTAAACAACATATCATTGTTCTCCAGGCATTCGGGGAGAGTTGAGTCGGAGCAAGATTAAGGTAACGCAGCAGTTCCCTAATAAAAAGAGGGATTGGAAAACGCAATCCGGCAATAAAAGTAGACTCATAGAAATAAATCTCAGTTGGGTAAAAAGAGAATGCTCTATCATTAAGTGGAGGAAGTCTGAGAGTAACACTATCTGGAATTGAATAAGTTTGCCTGATCTGATCTATATCATCTGAGGTAAAGGAGCCTGCTATATCCTGTACCAGATGTGTCTCTGACGGAGCCGAATCAGACTGGTGGTGTTCCTCGTT